GTGCTTAATTACAAACAAACAAACGCATACTTCTCTTTTGTATATAAGTAATAAATGTCTTACCACCTAACGTACATGCAGTTCATCAGATTTGACCTAGTCCTTCTGTCTCCTATTGAAGTCATTTTGTTTGGTAATTTTCCAAAAATTCAGATTTTAATTAAAAGTCAATAGTACTAAGTACATGTAATATGAACAATCGTGAAATCACTTATTTTCCTCATCATCAATGTTTGGGTGGCCTTAATTATTGAAAAGGAAGGTCTTGAATGTTGTTTTAAGAATAAGTCTGCTTTTTAAGGTGGTATTTGCTCGAATGTTCTATTAGAGTTTTGAGTAAATTCCTGTGCGATCCCTATTATGAACCACTATCATGGTTCATAATTCTCCAGTAACTACAATGTTCGATTAAAACTTACAAATGAGAGCTAAAGATCTCAAGTAAATTCTGTTTTTCATCCAGATATGGTAGATGCTCTGCTTTAAGAGAAAAAGAACATGAAAAGAAAAGTTATTTGTTCCAAGAACTTACGAGTGAAAGTAAAGAAGAATGCATAACAATATTACAATCACACTATACCTGCCATTACCATTGTCGAAGGGCCCTTTCGCCCCATACCAGGATTCACTGGGTCAGCTGGGATACGACAGACAGACAGCGATGGTCCCAATCACTCCTGAGAGTTAGTGTTGATTTATGTATTAGTTATAGTACATGAAACGGATGTTATTAAAATCAGCAATCTGCGCGATCTTGGTTACACAGATACCTGTTAGACGGAGAATCCCTCTTACAAAGTCTGTTAAATGCGATCTGGAAGATATGAAGCTTTATATACAACATACACACTCACTAAATATCTGAGAAAGAGGTAATATGTGGTTTGAATGTTCCATATGTGGTATTTCGCAATTATAAGAAGTTCAGATATCTGTTGAAACAATCAAGGTTTACATTTTTGACCAACCTATATATGCACCAATTCCTTTCCGTTAATTAAGCAGCGCAATAAACACAACCTACCACCAGGTGAGGGTTTGTATGATAAACTGTACCAATGAGAAATCAGTCTAAGAATTCAAAACATTTCTGCCAGTATTAATATGAAACCATAACAAATATTTTCATGCAGTGCTCGTTGATAAAATATCGGAAAGTCACTTGTATCTCCTTATGAATCAATAACTTAAAATACAACGAATATTGTACTCTTGCAAAATATATTTATTTTTATTTCTTGTTAAGCACAAAGCTTCACAATGGGCTATCTGAACTATGCCCTCCATAGTACCTAAACCCACATTTTAGCGTTATAAACCTTCAACCTTACTGCTGAGCCACGGAGAGGCATATATTTATGATCGGTAGGTTAGAAGGATTAAAAGTTAAGAAATTATAGATATTTGATGACATATAAACTGACATAATAAACCTTTCTTTCAATATCATCTTGGATTATGGAAATATAAAAATCTTCAAGTTCTGAACATCAGTCACTATCAATAATGACTTTTCGTGAACATCAAACGGTACTGTGTTAACTCTGATGATCAAACTTCATCAGAACATCAAACGGTACTGTGTTAACTCTGATGATCAAACTTCATCAGGACATCAAACGGTACTGTGTTAACTCTGATGATCAAACTTCATCAGAACATCAAACGGCACTGTGTTAAATCTGAATATCAAACTTCATCAGGACAGCAAACGGTACTGTGTTAACTCTGATGATCAAACTTCATCAGGACAGCAAACGGTACTGTGTTAACTCTGATGATCAAACTTCATCAGGACATCAAACGGCACTGTGTTAACTCTGATGATCAAACTTCCTCATGACATTAAATGGTATTTTGTTAAATCTGAAGATCAAACTTCATCAGGACATCAAACGGTACTGTGTTAACTCTGATGATCAAACTTCATCAGAACATTAAACGGCACTGTGTTAAATCTGAATATCAAACTTCATCAGGTACTGTGTTAAATCTTCATATCAAACTTCATCAGGACATCAAACGGTATTGTGTTAACTCTGATGATCAAAGTTCATTCAGGACATTAAACGGTACTGTGTTAAATCTTCATATGTTTAATGTTCTGATGAAGTTTGATCATCAGAGTTAACACAATACCGTTTAACGTCCTGATGAAGTTTGATCCTCAGATTTAACTCAGTGCCGTTTAATATCCTGATGAAGTTTGATATTTAACTTTTCGTCGACATTATGTCGAGAAATAAAACTCCACGACGTTGTATTATATATGTTTTAGTTTTTTATTATATCAAATTAGTAACGAGGCTTAGCTGAGAAAGCGTCTGTATTGATATGAGATTAAATTACGGAATTATCCTCAGTCAATCGAGTGTGGTTTTGGATTGAAACTATTCATATTTTCAACACTGGCTGTAAGTATAAACAAGATATGTACAGTATACATAGAGAATGAGGTATAATACATATATATTGTATTAATAAGGATAACACTAAACACAGTTATGTTGTTTTAATTATTAAGAACTACGGTTAAAAGTAAACTAACTGTATACAAAGCAATAACCTCTAAATTCGTGAAGACCATCCAATATAACAAGTTCTTAATATCATAAACTAGCTTTGCACGACCTGTCAAAAATGACGAGTTGGAGGTTTTTTTTATAAAAGAGAGGGGCGGGCCCCCGACCTTTCTTCACTTAGCTTAATTCACTAAACTTCCCCCTTCACCATAAAAGAAAAACAATCACACACTGAGAAAATGGAAAAAATTTAAAAGCACTCTCAAGAAATCAAATGAAAAATGAGTCATAATATGAGTGTTACACACACACACACAAATTGACAAATGGCTTATATATACATATACATATATTAAATTTTAATCAGCGGAAAAAGAAAAGAGCATTATGTGTCAAATTCCATGACTTTTACAGCTCCAAAAATCAAATGTTTATGATAAAAATTCTATCACAAAGTTCGAACCTAAAATTAATTTAAAGTACCACCATTAGTTAGTACTAATGGTAATACGTTTGAGAAAGAGAAAGGAAAAAAAAATGTTTTATCGAAAACAGTATTAACAAAACTGAAAAACTTCACGAAACC